TTTAGAGTCAGGCCCCAAATCAATAATCCATTGCTAGGCTGGCAGACTACCAGCTTGAAGCTGCTACTGGTCATCTAGTCTCCACATGGGAAGCAGCTGTGTGAGAAGGAAGTCACCACTGAAGACAATAAAATCAAGAAGAGGAAAAAGATTCCAGCCTGCATAACTGGGGCACCTGGATCCAGCTATGTCTGAAAATCTCTTATATAAATTTTTAGTTATTTGGGCCAGTAGGCACATGAAAAAATGTTCAGTATCGCTAATTATCAGAAAAAATGCAAATCAAAACTACAATGAGGGTATCACACCTCACATCGGTCAGAATGGTCATCATTCAAAAGTCCACAAACGATACAAATACTGGAGAGGGTGTGGAGAAAAGGAAACACTTCGTACACTATCCTATCCGTCGACAGATGACTGCATAAAGAAGTTGTGGTATATTTATACAATGGAATACTACTCATAGATTAAAAAAAAAGAGAATAAAATAATGTCATTTGGAGCAACATGGATGGACCTAGAGATTATCATTCTAAGTGAAGTAGGCCAGAAAGAAAAAAATACCACATAATATCACTTAAAAAATGGGAGTCATTTTTGAAAATGTGGACTCTAAAAAAAAGAAAAGAAAAAAGAGGACACTAATGAACTCATCTGCAAAACAGAAACAGACTGGCAGACACAGTAAACAGTTTCACGGTTACCAGGGAAAAGGGAGTAGGAAGGGATAAATTTGGAAGTTGGAGATTTGCAGATGATAAACACTATGTATAAAAATTGGTAAAAAAAAAAATTTTCTTCTGTATAGCACAGGGAACTATATTCAATATCTTGTAATAACCTTTAGTGAACAAGAATATGAGAGGGGGTATAGCTCAGTGGTAGAGTGTGTACTTAGCATGCATGAAGTCCTGGATTCAATCCTCAGTACCTCCATTTAAAAAATTAATTAAAAAATATGAAGACAAATATACGTATACATATGCATGACTGGGACATTATGCTGTACACTAGAAATTGACACATTGTAACTGACTATACTTCCATTAAAAAATTTTTTTGTTATTGGAATCACTTAAAGTCCCATCTTTAAACCACTGGTTCAGAAATACCAGTCTGAGATGAAACACTTACTGTCCCAAGCAAAATGAGAAAAATAATTTCATTGGTAGCACTTTTTTATTCTCAGATTGTATCCTTCCAATTTTGGGCATTAAAGTGTTTATGAGTTGATGATGATAGTAGGTAGCAATTGTACTTTTCTACTTGCCCTTAATAGAAAACTAGAAAGTTAGTCTCTAATAGAAAGTTAGCAGACCCTTTATCCATCCCTCTGTCTTAGTCTGCTCCGGCTGCTATAACAAATTCCCAGAGACGGGGTAGCTTAAACAAATACTTACTTCTCACAGTGCTGGAGGCTGGAAGTCTGAGATCAGAGTGCCAGCAGGGCTTGGGTTCTGGTGAGGACCTGCTTCCTGGCTTGGAGCTGGCCTTCTTGTAGCCTCATATGGCAGAGAGAGAAAGGGCTAGCTCGCTTCCTCTTCCTACCAGGACAACAGTTCCATCATGGGGGCTCCCCCTTCATGACCTAATTACCTCCCAAAGCTTCCATCCCCAAATACCATCATATTAGGGCTTTAGCATATGAATTTGGGGGGACACAAACATTCAGTCCATAGCACCTTCCATTAAAAAAAAAATGTTATCAGTCTGCAAAATATTTGCTTATAAACTACAGTGTGTGTAAAATACTGTATTTGGATATACAAAATACTTTCATAAAGTTGTGATCCTTTTATTTCTTAGTTTATTTGTACTTCATCTGATTCCAGAAAGGGTTTAAGGAAATTCTCTTGATTCCTTTGATCTAATGCCCAGGATGGACGCTTCATTACAAAGGCCTCACATGGGACGATCTAAAAGGAAGTCAAAGAGACCTTTCCTCCCTCCTCCTGTGGGGTAGACATGGATCCAAGTGATGATTTTATCTGCCTCCTCCCTGGGACGAGCAAGGGGAGGCAGTGTGTCCACAGAAACAGGCACCGCTCTGAAGGCTTCTCCTCAGCTGCTGGTCACCGACCTGGAAATGGCTCCAGGTCCCCTGCTTCTAGGTGAGGCCACATCCCACATGCAGCAGAGCCTGAGTGGGGTGAAAGTAAGGGGCGCAGGGAATGTGTGGGAAGTGAAGAGAATGAGAGCAGAAGAAGGAAAGACCCATGAGGGGAAGGGGTGTGGGGAGGAGCATTAAGTGAGGAGGGAAGGAGTGAGAGAAAGTGAGAGGGAAGAAAGCCCCTGTACATAGTGGAATTTAGCTTTCGGGAGGAGAGAGAATCGCTGTTTGATTAGGCATTTGCCCAGGGGGAATGTTTACTCATGGTTTAATAGTAAGAATGAAGTTAGTGTTAAAGTTGAAGTGAAGTAATACACTAGGCAGGAGGTGGGCATGGCGGCATGGCGGTGCAGGGTGTGTGTTGGGAGTGTGTGTATTAGACAAATCACGGTACCACACGTGTGAAGAGGATGCTCCAGGCACATGAACTATGACTTCTTCCATTCTGGTGGCAGATTTGTCCCAAGCCAGGCTGTCTCACTTTCTCAATCCTTGTTTTTGAGACAGCTGGCCTTGTTAGGGGCATTTTCTGTGGCCATGGAAAAAATGAGTCTTATTGGCTCACATGTGACTAGACTCAGTGTGGTCTGGATATTATGCAGTGTCTTGGACCTATGCTGGGTTAGGCTTCTAGCATGTAAGATTATAGATAGGGAAGCTAAACACACACACATATACCCTTAGACCCAAGAGATGCAACTGCTACAACCAGCCAGGTTCCTTCTTGCTGCAGGGTCCTTGGGCTTGCTGTTCCTTCTGCCTGAAACTTTTGCTCCTATTTATAAGCCTTCCTTTTTCTTATCCTTTATATCTCAACCCAAGTATCACCTTTTCAGAGAAGTCTTCCCTAACCATCCTATTTCAAATAAACCCTCCTGGCATTTCCTCTCTCAGCACTGCTTCTCAGATACCAACTCTTTTCATGTATTTGTTTATTAACTTGTTTTATTCCTTGTCTCTCCCTCCAAACCCTCCAGTTCCAAATTGGTAGGAACCACGTCTCTCTGGTTTATTGCTGTCTTCCCAACTCTTAACACAGATAACACAGGGTCTATTTCATAAATGAGACTCAACTGTTTGTCAGATGAATGAATCAATAAGTGAACTGCCCTGAATTCATATCCTGGTTCTTTCGCAGATAAAAACTTGACACCATTGTATTGGGATCTTATTGTTTTAGAACAAAATTTCAAACTGTGCAAAATTATGTTGGGCTATTTAAGAGAGCTCCTGCTTTCACTTTTCCTTCAAGTGTCCTGAAGGTGGGTAGAAGAGCTTGGAATGTTACACACTGGTTATTGATTTTGATCCTTTGGGAAGGGCAGAAGAGTCCCCATTTAAAGAACAGTTCTGTCTACAGAGTCTCTGGACACGCTTTCATTTTCTCTTGCTTTAGTGTTTGTGCCAATGGAACATGTCCACAGTCCAGTAACGAGCAATTTGGTGCAAATAATTGGGACTCTTTGAAGCAAGAAACTACAGTTCTCCAAAGGCTGCAGTCCCTGCTGTCAAGAGACACGTGCTCTTCAGAGAGAGAAAATGGGTTGACTATGCCAGCCCTCTTCTTTAAAAATGTTGTATGGTTTTGTTTTTTCCCGAGCTTTGTTTCACATACACTCATATGAGGTAGGACTATGGCAACATACCACTCAGTAGGGTAGGGTGATCACAACTATTTGTGTCTTACTGATTTATATCCTAATTTACAAAACAATTTGAGATACCTTACATATTAGTTTTGTATTCCTGTGTAACAGATTAGCATAAATGTAGAGGCTTCAAACAGCATGAACGTATTATCCCTGGTTTCTGTTGGTCAGGAGTCTGGACATGGTTTAGCTGGATCCTCTGTTCCTGTCTCACAAGGTTGCACCAGGTGTTGGCACAATCCACTTCCTTGTGGTATATGATCGAGTCCCCATTTTCTTGCTAGCTGTTAGCCAGTACCCTCTCAGCTCCTGGGGGCTGCCTCTCTTCATAGGCAGTTTCACAACCTTGCTGTCTTTCTTCCTCCCAGACCAGCAAAAGAAACTCTGCTTATAAAAGTCTTATAAGCCCACCCACAATTATCCCCTATTTGATTAACTCAGAATTGGCTGGTTTGGGATCTTGATTACATCCGCAGAGTCCTCTTGCCACACAATGGAGCGTAAGCAGGGTGGTGATATCTTATCATAGTCACAAGGCCCACCCACATGCACGGAAGGGGTTATACAAGGCAAGAGTCACGAGGAGTCATTTTAGAATTCTGCCTACCATGGCTTATAATAATAATTTTTAAAATGGATGCTCAAAACTATATCAAAGAAGGAAAACAGTGAAAGAGGAGAGAAGGAGAAAAAGATGAAAATAATCCCGGACATCATTCACGCCACAAGTACATATGCTGTGTTTATATATGCCAGGTACTGTTCTGAGTTCTGGGCAAATTAAAATGAAAAGACAAGGTGGTCACAGCTTACCAGAGCAGGCACTTCCTCAGGAAACAGTACCAGGTCCAACAGTCATTAGGTATCATCCTGTCTGAAAACTGGAAATTCTCCTCTCTAGTCGTGTGAGGAAAAATCACTGTCATGAAATCTTCAGTTTGGAAGGAAAAGTGCCAGGAAGAATAAGGAACAAATAAAGAACTTCCAGCACATGAGATTTAAAAAAAAAAAGACAGGATAAGCTAAGTTCAACCCTCACTTCCAAACTCCCCTTTGCCCGCCTAGTCCTCACTGTCCCTGTCAGCCTCACTAGTTTATAGTCATCCAGTCTGACAAGTGATAATGCTTTGAGGAGTCCAGGGCAGGAGCTGCCTCCCCTCTTTCCTGGGTTATAAGTGTATCACCTTTCATTCCAAATGAGGTAGCTACTATCTCCATTTGTTTTTTTGTTTTTTTTGTTTTTTTCAGATGAGTAACCATGATTCAGAGAAGGTAAGTAACTTGTTAATAAGGAGCAGAGCTAGGATTAAAACCCAGGTCTGTCAGAGTTCAAAATCCATTCCTTTAACTATAGTCTTCTACCTCTTTAGGAAACATCTCTCGAGGCTGGCATTTTGTGTGGAAGATTCCCTATTTAAAATAAAATCCTAGATATAAAATAGAAAGGAGGCTGGCCAGGAAAATGCTGGACTCAAAATTGGAGGACATTCCTGCTTGTCCTGCGAATCCTGCCGTCTCTCCCCATTAGCTCTGATTTCACATCCTTCCTCCATAAGCTGTGAAAAATTTTCATACAAACATGACTAGATTCTATATTTTCCACAGTATTTTCTGTCTATACCATCACCTCTGGCTTGTATGAATTTTACTCTGGATAGACTTTAAAGTTTGGTTGAAAACCTGCAACTCCTTTAGTGCTTAAAATTCTGAGGGTGGCAGGTGGGAAGGGTCTGAATGAGAAGGCTGCAAGTCTTGAAAAGGGCAGTGAAGCCCTTAGGGGCAGACAGGAAGCCTTCTGAGTGAACGGAGGTGGACTCAGTAACTCACTAGTGGCCTGGGGTTCCCACCCCTGTTGCCCTGCCCCGGATGGGGCCACCTTCCCACCTGGCTCTCAGCGGTCTCCTGGCTGACTCAGTCCTGCCTCTGTCCCTGCCAGCTCTCAGGCTGCAGCCAGGGTGAGGGTTCTAAATTGGACTCTGCCACTCCCCTTGGTTGAACACTTCAATGGCAACTTGTTCTTCTCAGGATAAAGTCCAAACTCTGTAATATGGTCTAAAGGTCCTGCATGGTTTGGTCTCTCCCCACCTCACTGGCCTCTTTGGCCACCTCACTCAGCTTCCCCTGTGCTGAATTTCTTGCAGCTCCCTGAAGGCTTCCCTCTCCTGAGCCTCCAGACCTCGGGACTTGCAGTCTCCTCAGCCTAACTCTTGCTCCCCCATTTCTCTCCCGTGGCCAATGCCTCTCTATCTGACCTTATTACATCTCTCCATAGACTTCACCAGCTCTGAGATGCCTTTCCTGATCTTCCCAAGACTATGGCAGCACCCTTCCCACAGGCTCCCCATCCCCTACCCCAGAGTTCACTGAATCATAGCAATTATCATGAGGCAGTGCAATGACTCAGTTGCCTTCCCAACTAGGTCATGGCAGTCCTGAGAACACGAGCTGTATCTTATTCCTCTTTGTATTCTCTGCATTTATTGAGAGCAAGGATTCCATGAATGTCTCCTATGTGAAAGAATGAATGAATGAATGAATGAAAGTGTATGGCTAGGCCAGGGAAAGTACTGTGACCATACTTTGCAAACATCAGCTCTGTTCAGTGACTATGTACCTGGGAACTTGAAAACAAAGTGACATGCAGACAACTGGAAAAATCGAGTGCATATGGCAACCTCAGGCATAAAGTCTCACTGAATCGAAAGGAGCTCTCTCAAGTAGCTCCTTCTTCATAACAATAAGAAGGGAACCAAGGAATGTGGGATTAAAATTGGGAAGAAAGAAAAAAATGTAGCAAAAGATTCTTCAACTGAAGAGAGAATTCACTTTTTACGTGGAAGAAGATATATTTTCTTCTATTTTCCTTTTGACCAGAGATTGAGAGATTGCTCAAGTAGCAGAAAAATAAATACTGTGTTAATCTTAATCTTGAGTGGCCTCCTGCAGAGGGTGGGTTGTCACAGTTAGGGCGCCTCTTGTTTTCTGGTGGGAGTGGGAATATGTGTTGAGAGCGGCTGAACTGCTCAATGTTAAGAAAGGGCTGGGTTAGTTAGAGGCTGGGGGTGGGGGGTGATGCGGGGAGGCTTACAGGGTGGGAGGCGGAGCAAGTGGGGGAAACTGGAGTCTGCCCTGTCTCACTGAGGCTGAACCCTGAAATGGGTGACAATGGGTAAAGAACCCCCACCACGCCCCGAGGACAGGGCACTCGGGAACCCCAATATACTCAATGGGAGTTTATGAACTAGGGGGCCACATGCTGTGTGATGAAAGACTGCACATCCCTTCAAAACCTTCAGTGACATCTGCTTTGCTCAATAACGCTTTTAGCACAAATGGTTTTGTTCTGGGGAACTCAGCGGGGTGGAGAGTGCTGTGTATCGCTGGCACAGGGTCAGGACACAGTCCTTCCACAGGGGCATTTGCATTACACTCATACACCCAGAAAATGTTTGAAAGATGCATATTGCTTAAAATGCCCATGTATGAAAATAGGCAGCAGTAGGACTAGGTGTTTGTGTGTGAAATCCTTTTCTCAGTAAGAAATTACTGACTGTTGTTGAGATGGTCCTCTGGGATTTCAGAAGAATCGGTCACCTGGTCTTGCTATGTGGATCATCTCAGCCTTTCAGCCATTCGTCCAGAAGCATTCAGTGGGTACCTACTATTATGCTGCAGGCTCTGTACCAGACTCCGGAGACAGAGTGACCAACCAGCCAGAAGCAGTCTCCAGATGTACTGTGGACTGGTATGGAGCCTTCTGGACCTAAACCATAGCCCTAGAATCAGAAAACCTTACTAAACATCACTGCATGTGTGTACCGCTGCATCAGAGGGTTTACCCCTGGAACAGATGGATACCATTCTGAATTGTTCTGAATGTGTTTATATTTAAATATGTCTCAGAAAAATAAAATAGAAAGAATGCCTCATCTGGTGGAGAGCAGGAACAAAGCCTTTCTAAAGTGTTGCCCCGGGCACTGTGGATTTCAGGCAGGGCCTCTCTGGGACTGCTTCATCTTCAGTTCTTTTTTCCCAGCTGCCTGGGGCTGCACTTTCTTTGGTAAGACCTTGTTTCTGTGCCCTGAGTTGGGAGCCTTCCTCTTAGGGGTTGCTTGTAGGATGCTTCTCTTGAGTTGGAAGTTAACCTGGGGGGTTAAAAAAAAAAGCAGCAGCTAGGAGAGCAGAGGAGTAAGTTTTCTATTTCCTAGAATTGAAAGTGGGGGAAGATCAGCTTGGACCCTGTTTCACCACTGTTCCAGGTTCTGAGCACAAGGGACTAAGGGGACTATTACAGCAACCACCCAGAGCAGCACTGGCAGTGTCACACGGCCTTGGCTAATATTCCCCCCAAAGTGGCACATAATCACCAGTGCTACATAGGGTCTGTCTAGATGAACTTAATATACATTCTACATTCATTTTATATGTAATAAAAAATGTACCTCAAACATCAAACCACGAATTTACTAATACTGTTGTTTAGGACAAGAGCTAAGGTTGATGGCGCCGTAACAATCCCCTTTATGCTGACTGTGTGACTAACAGGTGTTGTGCTCAGGCTTGTCAAAGAATGCCTCAGACCTTCAGAACTAAAGCTTCTGTCATAATTGTTTGGAAATATAGACAGTAGAGATGATACAGATTATTAGTATGAATTCGTAAATCCAAATTTTCAGGTGCATTAATGCACTGTGTCCAGCAATACATTGAAACTTCCCTTCTGGCCACAGCATGCAGAGGTAAAGAAGCGTTTGCCTGACAAGTGTGGGGTAAGCTGGCTGTGCAGGAGCTGCCGAGCCATCCCAGGAAGGGAAAGGCAAGGGCGTGGCCCAGAGTTCTAACCACACTCCTCTGAGGCAACCTTGGCTCTCAGGCCCTTGGAACAGTTTGGGCTGCTAAAGCCAGCTAGGAGTTGGAAAACACGTGACAGACAGACCCCTTCATAGGGTTATTTCTTGCCCCCTTCACAGAAATCCACAGCCAGCTTTTCTGCTGGTTCCTCCCAAGCAGGGGGATCCCTGTATTACTACATAAACAGTACTGAGCCAATTGCACTGAACCAGTGCTATCTTCTATACAGGAACACAAGGATTTAGGAAGGAAAAAGAGAGAGAGAGAAGAGAAACAACAAACTAAGGAGAGGACAGAGGAAAATGAAAGGAGCGGGACATCTGGAGGGCTGCAGGAGAAGCCAAGGAGAAAACACTGGATTCTTGGAGATACTTTAAAGCGTTTTAATCATAACATGAAAACCGTCTCGTAAATGAGCTTTTTTCTTTTCTCTTCCCCCTACCAGATGGATCTCTGCTCTAGCATGGGAAGAGACTCAACTGGGATCAAAAAGTGGACTGTTAGTTGTGACTATATCTGAGAATTGTAGCCAGAAAACAGGTTTTTTCCCCCCTCTCTGAGTTATATTTGATATAATGATGGGTTATGTCAATTTATTTTAAGGCTGTATGACAAAGGAGGTGAGATCTTTTGAAGCAGAATTTGTTATTCAAGAGGATTTGCAGTTGTTTAAATTCACAATTGAATAGACTTCTATATGCTGCTGCCTAACAGTCATTTGATTCTGGGTAGATGAGGAGCAAGGGGAGAAGAAGAAAAAGGGGAAAAGGATGCATGGGTTGGGAAACTGGGACCAGGTAACAGGCTGCTGTGGAAGAGCTACTCTTTGCTTCCTGCACCTGCAAGTAGAAGTCGATGGGAGTGGAGGGGCTGGGAGAGGAGAGAGGGGGAACTGTCTAGCAATTTCAGAGGCATTTTCGAAGAGTTTAAAGAACTCTTTACCCTGATTTTTGTTTTAAAATAAGGGGTTATGAACACAGGCTGTGAGCTTAGCATGAGGCCCTGTAGCTCACTGGCTGAGAAGGCAGCCCTGAAAGCCCCACAGAGGCTGGAACTCGGGCTCCCACTTACTCACTGTGTGGTATTGGACAAGTTACTTACCTTCTCTAAGCTTCAGTTTCCTCAGCCACAAATGGGGACAGGTATATCTACCTTACAGGGTTGTTGGGAAGGTGAGATGAGATAATTCTGGAAAGCGCTCATACAATGTCTGGTATATAGTAGCTATTCAATAAATAGTATCTATAACTGTATTTGAAAAGGCAAGATACTTGGCTTCACTGCATTGAGGTAACAGGGAAAGGGGAGGGAGGGTCTGCTAAGCTCTTGGGTTGTATAGGGATGGAACAGGACAGAGTGGGAGGCCTGAGGGAAGAGTTGCCTTGTGAGAAAAAGGTCCATAGATGCTCATTAAACAGGACTGCCTCATCCTTGTGTGAGAAACCTGAGGATTAGTGTCCATGATCTTTGAGTCTCTTTGGCTCTGAGATCCCAAAGTAGTATGACCAAAGCTAAAAAGGTCCAGGCTACAGATGAAAAAGTTCCAAACAAACAAACAAACAAAAACAAAGCATAAATACAGGACAGAAATAGACTCATGGACAGAGAATACAGACTTGTGGTTACCAGGGGGGTAGAGGGTGGGAAGGGATAGACTGGGATTTCAAAATTGTAGAGTAGATAAACAAGATTACACTGTATATCACAGGGAAATATACACAAAATGTTATGATAAATCACAGAGAAAAAAATGTGACAATGAGTGTGTATATGTCCATGAATGACTGAAAAATTGTGCTGAACACTGGAATTTGACACAACATTGTAAAATGATTATAAATCAATAAAAAATGTTAAAAAAAAAGAAAAAGTTCCTTGCTTCTGATCCTATCTATAAAAGAGAGCCTTGGAGAGTTGAATATTAAAGAGTAGCTGGCTGTTTGCTGAGGTGGGTGGAAAGCAAGGCTGTCTAGGCACACGGGCACCAGAAGGGGGCAGAATGCCATCTGGTGGTAGTTACTTGCTGATGGTGCAGAAGAGTGTAGCCCAGTGAAGCCTGTGCATCTGGGCAAGCCTCTGGGATTTACAAAGAGACACTTTTTGAGCACTTTCTGTGTGTAAGTCACTGTACTAAAGGCTTTACATGCACCTTTTCATTTCAAATTCTTGCGAGGGAGGCACTATTACCACTAATTTATAGGAGAATAAACTGAGGATGAGAGCAATTAGGTAACTTGTCCAAGGCCTGTTGACAAATGAGCTGGATTTAGTATCAGGTAGTGTTTTAATCACTATGTTATGTTGAACAGAAGGAAAAGGAAAAGCCAAAAGGAAGTGGGAAAGGATGTAACAGGAGAATGACAGAAGAAACTTAGCATACGAGAGCAATGAATTTTTTCTTCACTGGTAAGAGGGAAGGTCATAGGCAAAGATTAGAACCATACAGTCGATTGTAAGTTTGTATAAGTGACCTTTACAGTGCTCTGTAAAGTCAGCCTAACTCACCAGTTTGGGTTCCCCAGGACCCACAGTCACAATCAGTGTCTCTGGGTCGAACCCAGGTGCTGTGGCCGTGACAGTGTAGGTACCTGGAAGCAGCAGCCGGAAGTAATCGCCATGGTCACCTAAAAGTTACAAGGATATAGCTCAGCCTGCTGATGAGAAATCTGCCCCAAATTGGATCTTCATACAAAAAACGATCTAAGAGTTTTAGCTGAACACAAGCTTGATTTTTCTTAATAGCATGATGAAACTGCTTAAGGTCTAAAACAGTCATAGCAGATCATAAGCGCATGGGCCAGCTCCTGGGAAGGAGTTTCACTGTACTCTGCACTGACAGTACTATGTTTAAGTTTACATCTTGTATTTTAAAACAAACTTGTGTCCAGTAAAGGGTCGCTAGAAGAAAGGTCAAAAGACTTACGAACGTAATGACTGGTAAAGAGATTACATAGGACCTCTGTTTCAATGTTCAAAAAGTCACTGTGAAGAAATGACATCTATCTAAAGAAATAAGAATGAGGATGGAAGCAAACACTACTGTGACAAAATATGAGCTACCAAAAAAGAAATGGACTGCCTTATGAAACTGTGAGCAGAGACTGAATGAGCAGCCCTAGAAAAGCTACAGAGTTGTGCAGTGCACAACCTGCACCAATGGACATGGTGGCCCTGGGTTGGACAACCACCTGTCAGTGGTGCTGTATGTGTGTAATCTTATATTGGGTGGGAGGGCTGGATTAAATGACCACTAAGGATTTGATCTGGAGAATCCTATTTCTAATATTTCTTCCATTACCATCAAAAGGGGAAAATAAAATTCAAAAGAAAGCCTATTTCTCATAGCAGGGATGTAGCATTTCGGCTAATGACTTTACATCTCTTTAGAATAAATTATGACTGTGCCTTTAAAATTTCTTTTAAGTGTACAGCAATGAATAATTGAAATAATAAATGCAATTAATAAGAAGAACAATAATAAATAATGAGGAGGTCTGTTCTCTGCTCCCTATTAAATGCCTGTAATTTATTTCAAAATTGTTTAGCAAAAGCAGTGTGTTATAATGCATTATGTTGAATACTTTAAGTTATACCCTAGTGGCTGTCATTTTCTTTAATTAGGGGCTCACATCCAGGAGTGGTTAGCTAGCTTGTACCAGAAAGGCTCAATTCCAGATGCAGCTATTACAATGGCTTCATCTATCTTATCTCTAAGCAACACTAGATGCTTTGCTAAGTAGCATAATGAATGTGAGCAAAGAGTTTTCCCAGCAGTAAAATGAATAATCTCTAGATTTAACATAATGAGTGTTGGAAGTTGGCTCTTACTGGTGAAATTAGTGGTGTTCAATAGACGTGGATTGGCTAGAATGTTTCAGAGACATTCCCTACCCTTGCATGAATAGGGTATAAGAATCTAGCAAGCCCTGAAGCTCTGAGGGATGCCTGAGGTTGGTTTCCTAAACAGTCCTGGCTCCAGCCACTCGGCTGGAAGATTCTGGTTGTCAATGCTTGACTATATGGTGACAGACTTCTGCCTTTAGAATACTGTTGCCTTTGCCTTGAATGAACCTTTCAAGTATGAAGTGTTGGGTTCATCTTAAAGAATATGTTACCTCCTTAAAGCTGAAAATTCATCCAGTTTTAACAGACTGGTCTGAGCTACAAGATGCCTGCTTGGCAAGGCTTGCGTGGTGAAGTGTGGCTGAGTTGTGCTGGTATCGAGGTTGGGGGAGGCAGGTAAACCTCACCTGCCCCTAACTACTGGTAGCTACCGCTCTACCTGAAAAACCAAACAACCCCAAACCCCTAAGAATTGTGCATGATCAAATTGGGCTGGCACTGTTTGCAACACTGTCATACCGTGAGATATTCTGTACCATTCTAGAAGTTTCCAAGTTGGCTCCAAGAAGATCTGTTCCCCACCATCAATCTTGCCCTGCAGCAAGTTTATGGAAAGCATCTTGCTAATTTTTCCCTAAAGGGAGGAAGTGTTGCGAAATGGCTGATTCAGGGACAAGACTAAACATCCGTTCTACAGTCTTTTTTTCTTTTCTATCCCATTTCACACCAGTATGTGAGCTATTAATAACCCCCAACTGGGAAAATGCCCCTAACAAAGTTGTATGAGGCAGTGACTCCTGAATGCTGAGAGAGATGTCAGATTTACACCTTCCTGACCCTTGCCTCTTAATTCACTGTCCCCATTTCTATCATCTTTCCTTCCTGCAGTCTCCTACCCCCAGTGTCCTTGACGTCCTTGCTGGTTGACAAACTGGCCTCCTGACGATGCTGCACAAGGTGAGAGAGTGAAAGCCTCCTTCTCGCCCCACTAAGCGGTGGCCACCTACCCGAAGTGACATCATGGTTAATCCCACTGACAGAAATGACAGCGTTTGCAACATTGTTATAATTCTCATCCAGCACCATTCCCTTGATGCCCTGGTGTACCTGTAGGAAAGTTTACAGTGTACAGTTATGCTCATAAAACCTTTGTGCAATGTTTCGGAGTCCTCAAAGCTCTTTCTCTTGTGTTTTTGCATTTGATCCTCACAAAGATTATGGTGACAGACCCTTAACTAACCTTTCCGGTCTCACCCTAGTCCCCAGTAAATTTCATAGAGCAATCAGAGTGATCCTGTTCAAATCTATGTCAAATCACGTCACTAGTCTACTTCCTGTCTCTATGAATTTGACTACTCTTGATACCTCATAGAAGTAAAATTATACAGTTGTCTTTTTGTGACTGGCTTATTTCACTTAGCATAATGCCCGCAAGTTTCACCCATGTTGTAGCATGTGTCAGAATTTCCCTTTTTTTTAAGGCTGAATGTCCAGTGTGTATCGACCACATTTTGTTTATCGTCCATCAATGGACACTTGGGTTGCTTTCACCTTTTGGTTATGGTGAACAAGCTTCTGTGAACATGGGTGTACAAATATTTCTTTGAGATTCTGCTTTTAGTTCTTCTGGATATACACTCAGAAGTGGTATTGCTGATCATACGGGAGCTCTATTTTTAATTTTTTCAGGAACCACCAAACTGTTTTTCATAGTGGCTACACCATTTTACATTCCCATCAACTATGCACCAGGGTTCCAATTTCTCCACATCCTTGCCAACACTTGCTATTTTCTGTCGTTATTTTAATTTTTTTTATAGTAGCCATCCTAATGAGTGTGAGGTGGTATTTCATTGTGGATTTGACTTGCATTTACCTAGTAATTTTGAGCATCTTTTCATGTGCTTGTTGTTGGCCTTGCATTTGTCATTGTGACCTCATCAGGGAGCCCCTTTCCCCCTAGTAACCTGCATGGTTCTCTCCCTCATCTCCTTTAGGTCTGTTTAAATGTCACTTTCTCTGCAAGGCCTTCTCCATAGCATTTTACATTTAACATGTTATAAATTTTATTTTATCGATTTGCTTACTGTCTGTCTCTCCTTACTAGAATATAAGCTGCATATATGCAGGAATATTTGTTTGTTTACTCTTAATCCCCAGCGTATAGTATGGTTTCTGACAATTGTGCTCAACAATGTTGAATGAACTAATCTCACTGGCAGAGAAGCTCAGATCTATTGTATTGAGTCAGAGCAAAAGTCAGACCTGAGTCACACAAAAAACCTTGCCTACGGTCAGAAAACACTTCTCTTTCTATAACCATGAAAATTAAAAAATGTGATTTACCTGTTCCAAGAACTGGATTAGAGCTTCCCGATTACCCAGCCACTCGCGCTGCAATTCCTCTTGGCGAGGAAACTTGTCACAGCTCAGTTCCAGCGTGATCTCAAAACAGTTGGTATGAAGATAATTAAAGTCTTGCATTCCTAGGGAAAAGAGGGCGATGGCCGATTTGGATAACCAGCTTCCCACCCAACGCCCCATCTCAACACTTTTTAATCGCAATTTCTCCACACACACACCCCCATCACCTTCTGTTCTACCACCTGATCTGCATTTATTTTTCTCCTCCATAAAACCTTTCCCCAGTTTCCCAGTTCACATGCCTTTCTATCTTTCCAGTTTTTTCTCTTCATAAATGCCCATTTTGTAGTCTCCATCCTCTATTTTTTCCATTTCATGACCTAAATTCACTTCCTGTCCCTCTCAGCATTTCAAAGTCTGCTTATTGGTCATGTGCTACTATTAGACACGTGCTGCTTTCAGGGGGACAGATTTTCTCTTTGGACTATAATGTTCTTCAGATCTGGGCGGGTAGAGATGAGACAGATATTTTGATGTGGAGACATCCCTCCTCCTAGCTGAGAACGCAGCACCAACCTGAAAATAGTCATCCCAGAAAAACAGACTCCTGAAAAGCAGAGGCAGCTACAGTTTTCCTCCATCAACTGCTTGTCTGCTTCTAACTTCTACATTACCCAATTGAATCAATTATTTTTGAATATGTTTCTGATTATTAGAATTGTATTTATATCACAAATTTATTTGGCTTAAAAATTATTCACTTTATCAACTTTCACCTGCTCTCTCAGCTGCAAGCAGCTGTTGTAGAAAGAACAGGGAATGTTGGAGAACAACTGTAGCCTGTTACACGGGTTCTCTCTCTGCATCAGAATCAGCTGTAAGGCTGTCCCTTCCAGACAAAAACAGACTGCAGGGCCTTGGCCCCAGATTTTCTGACTTAGCAGGTATGGGCTGGGGCCCCGATATTTTTGTTTCTGACACATCCCCAGGTGATGAACTTGATGATGCTTGTCTAGAGACCCCACTATCATCACACTATCATTTTGATATAAACTTCATGATCTTGGAATTGTACCCCTTTAATTTCACGTAACGATTTCCAGTGGAGGCAAGGTTCATGCTTTCCCAGAGGATGGGAAGGGAAAGGGAGGAGCGAGTATAATTTTAAAAAGTATATTTTATATTAAATATTTTTTTGGAGGGGAGAGAACCTGTTGCATTCTTAGTGCAAACTAAAGAAAGTAAAGTTCAACAAAATCTTCTTGCCCTGGGTTCAAGTGAGTTTTTGGCCACCAGAAATCTACCACCTTCTCAGTACATAGTGACTCCCTAAGTTTCCTCCTCCCCACTCCCCATAGGACCAGCCATCAGCTCAGCCCTCAACAGTGAGCTTTCTACTACCGGGGCTCTGACAAGTCAGCTCTGAGAGGATTCAAGACAGCTGCTGAGACATGATTCCTAAGAGAACCTGGCTTCCTGCTTCAGCCTCTTCCCTATTCTTGGGGTCCCTGACTACTGAAGGTTCATGAACAGAGGTTCTATCTTGACCCTCAGTGATCGGAAAAGCCCAGGGAGTAGAGACAGAAGCCTCTTGCTGGAGGTTTCTGCTACGTTATCAATATCCAGTGTCCATGGCAAACTCCTGCTTATGGGGTATGGGCAGGCAGGTTACAGAGAGCACATATCAGAGGAACCATCTGTGTTCAGGCCGGCATCTGTCCTCATCTTTGCTATGTGAGGCATACCTCCTGCTACTACAGAAAAAACCTTAACATTTATAAACCAGGCATTTCCAAATGCTCTAGGTGCATTATTTTATTTAATATTTACATCAAAATCACAATGCAAGTCATGTTATTCTTAAAGTACACGTGAGGAAACTGAAGCATGGAGAGGTTAAATAATTAGCCTGAAGGCATGTAAATGGTGAACTGGTAAGCAAGCCAGGTTTCAACCCAGTGTTCCCTGAGGGCCCACAGTCTTAACCACTTGATTGCATTATTCCCCTCCTCTGCCCTCATCCACTATGCAAACCACCAGTTTTAAAGGACCACAAGGTGTCCCTACCTCTGTTTGAAAGAATCACAGGATGATGTTAAATGTCAACTTAAGACTTCCCCATTTTTCAGATCTCTACTTGAATGCAAAATAGCATTCCTGTCATGCCCCTGGGGAAAAAACGATAATTTAAAAGGAGAAATGAGCCCAATTCTACTTCAGCTTGCAGCTGTGCCCAGCACCCAGCACTCTTCTTACCCTTGCTGAGAGAGTACCAGGAAGCCCCATTGGTGATGCCATCTGGGAAGTAATCCCCACAGTTCCAACCTTGGTGCATCCATCCATGTGCGTAGGAGTAGACCTTGGCCAGCTGTAGGGAAAGCAGGCGGAAAATGACCCTGAGTGTTCCCAACTCATCTGGCAATGCTCACACTCGAAAGCAGGGTGAGGCCAAGAACCCCACTATGTATAAACAACTGGTTATTTGTTTTAGTTAAAGAAAATACCAGCAGGAGTAGCGAGGTGGGTGTGTGTGTGTGTGTGTGTGTGTGTGGAGTGGACTAGAGTTGGGAGACCTGTAGTCTGATTTTTCCTCTATGTTGGGACTACATTTCTTCAAACGCAAAGTGAGGGGTGACACTTGATAATACATAAGCTCCCCTCTAGGTGTACCATTTTCCAGCTAAGTTTTGTAAAGGAAGTCAGAAAGCAAGTAAGACAGGCCTTCACCATAAGAAGAATTACGTATTAGTGGTGAAAGGCATGTGTGGGAGAGAGAGGAATATATTAAAAAATCTCTATAACTCTCTTTCATTACTATTTTATAATGGTGGACAAAATGAGATTATTGGAGAAGAAAATATAGTAGTATACATGCTTTGCAAAGCAACAATTAGTGTTATCCTCTGTGTAATTCATTAATTGTTGAATTAATCATCAATGTTATTATATTACTTATACATTATTAATAATACTAACTATAAAATAACTAATCTGTTAATTTTATTCTATTGCTGTTTTGAACTATTATGTAAACCTTTTTCATGTGCATGGTCCATTTTTCATTAATATACCCATATTATCATAAAACTATAAATTAGAGCCCTCCAAATTCACATTTAATGTACTAGCTTACCGCCAGCACTGTTAGGCTTCCGGCATATTTCCTGCTTGTCATTAGCTTAAGTTTTTTTTTTTTTTCACATTGTGATAACTGTACTATAGAGGTTTCCTATTTATTTACTTTTTCATGAATTTATGGCTTATCACTCAAAACAAAATATAATATATAGATTGCTTGCGCCTAATGAGCAGGAGGTGTTTTTGATCATTTTCTATGGGCTCATTCCCAATAGGGTCCTATGCTACTGACTCAGTCTGTGTCACTCTCCTGAGCCCCAAGTTCCTCCGGCTGGACAGGCAGCTACTCTGCATACCTTCTGGAAAAGCTTGTCATCAGGCGTAGGGGTATTGGCAGTGCGGCGGAAACCTCGGACCCGGTGTTCAAAGGACTTGTCATATGGGTAATTGGCCACCACTGCCCCTCCGTGGAGATTGGCTGAAAGAACAAAGTTGAAGGAGCGGATCCACTGGATCACAGCCTGGGTCTCGGGTTCCACCTAAGGAGAGATGAGAGCTTACTGGTGAAGCTGTAACTGGAAGTGCCAAATGGGTGTTCTCATGGGTTTGTCAGGATGTGGCCTCAGAGGATGGCATGTCTGACAGGAAGTGGCCTTAGAGGATGGCATGTCTGACAGGAAGGGACCTGACAGGATGGCATGCGTGGCAGGATGGCATGTCTGAATAAAACAAAGAAAGTCCTACCGGATATGAGAAGTACAGATGGGGAAATTTAGATCTTTTGCTTGGTGGTTTTAAAAATTAAGTGAATGGAACCCTTTTTCAAAATGAAATCTCATGGAGAATCCCAATATTCAAAATAGCTAAAAAGAGATCATCTAGGGCAGTGTATGATATGAAATGGTGGATACGTGTCCTGATACATTTGTCCAAACCTATAGAATGTACAACATGAAGAGCAAACTCTGATTAGTAAACTACGGGCTTTAGGTGATACTGATGAGTCAATGTGGGTTCAGCACTGTAATAGATAAATGTACCACTCTGGAGGGAGATGTTGATAATGGGAAGGAGGGAGTATATGGTAACGCTCCATACTTTCCATTCAATTTTGCTGTGAACCTAAAACTGCTAAAAAAAATTAAGTTTATTTAAAAATAGAAAAGGAGAAAGAGCTGTTTGAAGAGGGGTAGCATGATTGGAGAGCTCAGAGCCCCAGCTTGGCCTCTCCCTGGCAACAAAGAAGGGATTCTCCAATTCACCCACTACTCCAGTGGCTTCTGGAGTTCCACTACAGAAATTTAGAGCTCTAGTAAATATATTTGAAAACTGCTGGTTTACAGCAATGATTTTCAACCTCCTCCTTCTCCCAATACATCTGCCATAATGCTGACATGTAGAACACTCTCCTGTGGTCATATCCAAATTTCATGAATTACACGTAGTATAATATGGGCCAGTCTTGGTTAAGTAGTGAGAGTCCACCCTTTCTATTACAGATTATATTGCTAGTAAGTGACAGTATTCTAAATAAAGCCTTGAATCTACTCAACTTGTAGTATATGTAAATATTTTATAGTCTTCACTGTTTTTCTTCCCCTCAGAATAGATGTGCTTAGAGGTTATGTGTTAATGTCTCCTCTTGGACCAAGAGTCAGCTGTGAAGGCCCCCATCTCTTCCATCCCAAGGGACACCTAATGAATAATGTTGAGTCTTACCCAATCAGAATGGATATAATCCCAAAGGCACCAGTCCCGCTCTGCAACCAGGGCTCAGGTGCTTTGAAACAGTCCTTTCTCCATGTCCTAAGCCTCTATCCATGAGAAGGGGGCCAGGATCTCACTGTTCCTCTCCCTTAAGGCTGTCCCATGAGGGGCAAAAGAGAATTCTCATTGTTCTTTTTCCTTCTAAGATGCAGACAGAGGAGCCAGCGGGAGTCTAATTATTATTGCCTCAATTGCCCTATTTTACTTAGACAAGTTTAATAGATCAGAACATCCTCTGGCTGGATATGCCAACAAGTACAAAGTTACTTTTGATTTATTATTTACTTGAGCTAAGAGATAGCTGCTATCCAAAATCTAAACATGTTGGCACAACTTTTGCTTCAATTCAGGGAAAAAAACCCTGAGAATATTCCATCTAGAAACTCCCAATATAAAGCCTTACACCTACTTTTTTTTTCTCTCCCCAGTCTCTAAGTTTAGATATTCATAAATCAAATGTTTAGAACGAGCCCACACAGTGTAAGAAACAGGGTAGTGGTGATGTTCCAAGGGTGACAGCAGTCAATCTCAGGAACAGGCCCACCATTAGGAGGAAACCATTCACATTACCAAGGGATGGTATCTCTCCTGGGAGAGAGGCCTGGGAGCAGCAAATGGGATCCCCTGATTGAGAAAGTAAAGGAAATGAGAGTCTCGAAAAGTAGTCTAGGATCACACAGAAAGGAAGAAGGAAAACTCTAAGGGTGAGATTCCCTGAACCTCTTTCTGTAGCTAATTGTTGATAAGCATACAGTTCATCACATGTAAGAAAGAGTTCTCTACAGAATGCTACAGTTCTCTGTCAGTAGCAGAGTGTGGTAGAAAGAATGGTGGATAAGCAGTGAGAAGGCCTGTTTTTTAAGCTTTTTTTTTTTTTGGAAGAGGGAGGTAGTTAAGTTTATTTATTTATTTATTTAATGGTGGTACTGGGGATTGAACCCAGGACCTTGTGCATGCTAAGCATACACTCTACCACTGAGCTATACCCTCCCCCTCAGAAGACCTGGGTTTTAATTCTGAGTCCATCAATTACTAGCTGTGTGAGTTTAAATTATTTTATCTGTAAGTACTACCTATAAAATGGGGGTGGATTACGCTGCTTATGCATTTACCACACAGTGTTATCATGATCAACCGAAATGCCAGCTGGGAAAAAATTCTGTAAAATTACAAAGTGCAAGTGCAACGGTGTGATGCCACTTTCACCTCCCTCACCACTATCACCACTGACATCAAACAGCATGTGCACAGTGAAAGGCTCTAAGCTGGGAATAAAAACAAAAAGGCATAAGGTACGATTCTCACTGCTCTGGGTAGATTAACACAGACTTGAGCTGATGCTTAATTCTTGCTCGTTGAATTGGATGTGAAGATGGCGAGAAGAAATTCCAGATGCCGATTTACCTGCTTCTGCATACAAATTTCACCTCATACCTGACTCTTCCAGTTGTCTGGAAGGGGCAAGTGGTGGTTGGGGCCTCCGTTCTTCTCATTGTAGTAGATGTAGGTATTGAGATCGGGGAAGTTGCGGTTCAGGTCCACTCCATTGGCATTGTTCCTGCCAACCAGGTACCCAAAAGTGTCCTGGCCCTAGTGGGAAAAGGAAGAAATGAAAGATGAAGGTTTCAGACTGAATCCTCTATTTAAAGAACACTATACAGTTCTTCTTACACATTAGCTCAATCTATCAAATGATGTCGCATTTTCTTCTTTAACTCATCCAAAGTTCGAGTGGCATGATTCAAGTTTCCCTGTAGACCATGTGCTGGAGCTAGGGAGTCCAGGAGAAGCCTTAACAAAAGGAGGGTGTTTCAGGATAATGGAAGCCCTTATTTTTTTATAATTTATGTCTGTTTAATCAACATGGTAGAGATATATGCATGAGAAAGTAAAAATTTTTTTCAATGATATATATTTTCAGAATATTTTCCAACATAGTTATTACAAGATATTGACTATAATTCCCCATGCTATACACAAAATCCTTGACTATTTTCAAGGATGACTATAACCTCACTTAGTATGATATTCTCTAGGTCCACCCATGCCGCTGCAAATGGCAATATCTCATTCTTTTTTATGGCTGAGTAATATATTCTATTGGATATATACACCACATCTTCTTAAACCAATCATCTGTTGATGGGCACTTTCCATATCTCAGCTATTGTAAAGAGTGCTATTGTAAACACTGAGGTGCACATATCTTTTTGAATGAGAGCTTTTGTCTTTTCCAGGTATGTGTAATCCAGGAGTGGGATTGCTGGATCATACTATAGCTCTATTTTCAGTTTTTAAAGGAATCTCCATACTGTTTTCCATAGTGGCTGCACCAATTTACATTCCCACCAACAGTGTGAGAGGGAAGGAACCCCTATTTTTAAAAAATAGCTTTATTGAGATATTACTTACATACTGTAACAGTCACTTAAGTGTACAATTCAATGAATTTTAGTATGCTTACAGAATCATGCAACCACTACCACAATTTAGTTTAAGAATATTTTTGTCACTCTGAAAAGAAACTTCATGCCCATCTACAGCCGCTCCTCATTTTCTCTCCAGCCCTAGGTAATAACTTTTGGTCTCTATAGATTTGCCTTTCCTAGACACTTCAGTAAATGGGGTCGTACATTATGTGCTTGGCTTTTTTCACTGGGCAAAATGTTTTTGAGATCCCTCCATGTTGTAGCATGTAACAGTACTTCATCCCTTTTTATTTCTGAATAATTCCATTATATGGATTTATCCAATTTTGTTTATCTACCTACCAGTTAATAGACTGTGTTAGTTTCCTAGGGCTGCTGTAACAATTTACCACAAACCATGTGGCTTAGAACATCAGAAATGTATTCTCTCACAGTTCCAGAGACTAGAAGTCTGAAATCATGATGTCAGCAGGGTCCTGCCCACTAAAGGCTTTAGAGGAGGAGCCTTCTCTTCTAGCTTGTGGCAGTTGCTGGCAATCCCTGGTGTTTCTGAATTTGTAGATGCATCACTCCCATCTCTACTTCCATCTTCATAGGGACTTCTCTCCTATATGTTGTGTCTCTGAGCACAAATTTCTTTCTTCTTACAAGGGCATCAGTCATATTTGACTTAATCCCCCTAATCCAGCATGACTTCATTTTAACTAGATGGTGTATGCAGAGACCCTATTTCCAAATAAGGTCACATTCCTATGATTCCCATGTTCCAGGTAGACATGAATTGGAGGGGGTGGGAAGATACTATTAAACCCCATACATGGGCACTTAGATTATTTCCACTTTTGGGCAAATGAGGATAATGCTGCCATGAACATTTGTGCACAAGTCTTTGTGTGGACATGTGTTTTTATTTCCCTTGGGTAGATACATAGTAGTAGAACTACTGGCCCATCAGGTAAGTCCATACTTAACTTTTTCAGAAACTGCTATACTGTTTTCCAAGGTGGAAACCACCCCCCCCCTTTATTTATTTATTTTTTACTTAGGATCCTTGTTTATCTGTCTTCTGAGCAATATCGACTTCTTGGATCCTGTAACCTCTCTGCTTACACTTCAAATTTCATCATTTATTTGGTCATGTATTCGTTCATCCATTTAATCAATCCACATTTGTTTAAGTCTATCTCTATTCAAAGTCCTCTAGGCAAGACACTAGGGAAAGAGACGGTGAGACATTATGTGAGCTTTCTAGGAATTCATAGTATACACAGGGAGATAAATATATAAATAATTAAAATGTATAAAGTGATGGAATAGAGATAAGTTCACAGGCCGTTGCAAAATTGAAATTCCATTTGATGTCCTGTTTAGCATTGGAGAAAGGGACTAGTGTCCATTGGAGCCTGTGGACTGAGAGGGTGGAACCCAAATTGGTGGCCATTCCTGGAAGTAGGGTGAATAGATGGGTACTGGGCAGCTAGAAACTCACAGTTGTATTACCAATCTCATACTTTTCTAAGAACTCTTTATTGTTCTCAGATTTCTCTATTTTTCATGGCATCCTGCTCTTATTTTGTTCTGAGATCTCATTGAGAATAATTTTTTTTTTACATTCTCTTAGGTTTCCTATGTCAATTCTGTTTCAGTGGAAAACATTTAAGTGATTTTTCTATTTAGAGTCTGATTTTTCACTTCTATGAGATAATGATATTCCTTATGCTTCCAGCAGTTTTCATTACTTGTCCATTTGCATCAACATAACTCATAACTGTCCATATTAACAGCTATGTTAATGTACCTGTCAGTTGATTTACTACTCACACCAGGTCATTAGTTAGGCTGGCAGGTAAGGACGTCTTTAACAGAAAGTTCCCATAAACAAGGTTGGTTTATTAGTTTCCTATTACTGGTGTAACAAATTACCACAGCCTTAGTGGCTCAAACTCACACAAGCTTATGATCTTGCAGTTTGGGAGTCAGAAGACTGAAATAGGTCTCACTGGACTGAAATCAAGGTGTCAGCAGGACTGTGTTCCTTTTGAAGTCTCTAGGAGAATCTGTTTCCTGACTTTTCCAGCTTCTAAATCACTCACATTCCTTGGCTCTGATTTCTGGTCCCTTTTTTCATCTTCAAATCCAGCAGCATAACATCTTCATATCTCTCTTTGACTGTGACCTTCTGCTTTCCTCTGGCACATGTAAAGGATCCTGTGATTGGTTATACTGGGCCCACCCAAATAATCTGGGATATTTTAAGGTCAGTTGATTAATCACCTAATTCTGTCTATAACCTTAATTCCCCCTTGCCATGTAACAGAACATATTCACAGGTTCCAGGGATTAGGACTTAAACATCTTTGGGAGGTACAGTGACACTGTTCTGCCTTACTTACAGGTAGCTTTAAATTATGGTGGCCAGGCAGGACTTCCCTTTGTAGCCAAGAAGACAGGTTTCTGCTCGGTATGGCAGGTAGCTCTGGGAATTTGAGAACCTGATGGGTCCTCTCTTGGGTTCAGGTTCAAGGTTTGCTCCCTTTGAACAAGTACATAGCAGGTGAGCAGAGGTGACTAGCTCCCCAGAGATGGCGCTAGGATTTAGTGGGCTGGCCCTTTCTCCCACGCCACTTCATCTCACAAAAGATGTGGGCAGGTCTAAGGCACTTCTCCAGTTCCCACTGTGATTCAGGGAAGAGCCAATAGAAGGAAAGCAGTCAGAAACTTAAGGAATGTTAGGGTACAGCTCTCTGACTTCCAGGGGGGAACACTGTTCTCTTTCTGTTGTTGAGTTATGTCTAATGTAAGCCAAAGGGTCAAATATGTATTTGGTTCAGCGTCTTGGTTCCTTTCCCCTTCCAGCTTCTACTCACCCCTCAGCCCTATTCTCAAGTAGGTTTAAAACAGGATGGGTGATTTAAGGAGAGATGCTGAGTGGTTCCACTTATATGGGCAGAGTGATCAGATTCATGGAATCAGAGGGTGGAGGATAGTTGCCAGGAGCGGGAAAAGGGAAGTTACTAATTAAGTGACATAAAGTTTTGGTTAAACAGGAAAGATGAGTTCTGGAGATCAGCTGTACAATACTGTGCCTGTAGTCAACAATACTGTATTGTACACTTAAAATTTTGTGAAGAGGGTAGATCTCCTCTTAGGTGTTCTGACCACAATAAAACAAATTTTTTAAAAAAGTGAAGTAGTGAAGTCTAGTCTTGAATATTAAAAAAAAAATTCAAGACTACCCCCAAATAAGCATATCTTTAAATGGAAAAAAAAAAAAACCTCTTTAATTTATACTCTCCCCACCCCGCAAAAAAACCTCAAACAAATCAAGTTTAAACACAGATTTGGAATGAACATATCCATTGTGTAAGGCAGATGCCTGGCTTCACCCCTCCCCCTCCAAAATTCTAATTCCATAGATTCTGGGGATGGGAGGAGAAGGAGGACCTGGGAATCTTTATTTCAAAAATCTTCACCTATGATTCTGATGCACGACCACAAAAGAATCACTGAATTAAATTAGGCACACTGAGGGGGTGGGGTTAACAGCCCAGTGGTAGAGCAGATGCTTAGTATGCACAAGATCCTGGGTTCTATCACCAGTACCTCCATTAAAAAAATTAAAAATTAAAAAAAATTTTTAAATAAAGTTAGGCACACTAGTATTTTGAATTTATATTAGGAAACAAAGTAAAAGCCCATAAACTTTTTTTATCTGCCCCTGCAAAATGTAACTCTAAAATAAAGAATTAAGATCACGGGAGAGGAGACTAGAAGTCCACATCACACCCTGATGAAGTTTGTCACAAACTATCCTATCTGTCCTCTGTTCTTCTAAGGGCCCATTCATCTTCCTTAAAAGTAATTCACTCTCCCCTAAGAGATCTGTATCTCCCGCCCCTTCCCCTATTAAGAGGGCACACAAGCTCTCAAATCCCCCCACTTTGGGGGTTGTTCACTTTGTTTTTTTTCCTCTATGATGCCCCTGTCCACATAATATTAAAATTAATACATTTGTATGCCCTTTCTTCTGTTTAAAAAAAAAAGAATTAAAAGGCTGAGTACTATGCTAGTAGAAGAAAAAGCTGTACAGAAATGTAATAAAGTATGAAGAATCTAGAACTACTCTGCAATTCTGAGAAAAAAAGCTTGTTCTATTTTCCTCTCAAATGCAAATAGAAGTGTAGTGTGAGAGGAAGGAAGAATATTTAGGGTTTGAAGCTAAAAGTTCAGGGAAGGGGGGCTGTTTGCAAAAATTCCTTCACCCCTGTTTATTCGACAAAGTGTTGTCACTGATATTCCCTCACTGACCCTCACAATGAAACAGAGAGGTCAGCTGGAAAGACGTGGAAGGAACTGAAACTCAGCCAGAAAGAACCCACATTCTATTTCTCCGGTTTTTCCCTCTACCACATTGTGGCATTCACAGTGGGGCAGAGAGGACACCTTGTCCCCTGGCTTTTCCTTCTCCCCTAAGGTGGCTCTGCTCTCTGCAGGGCCCCACCTTGGGCTCAGTACCTGGGCAGCGGCCACCTCGTAGCCGTCGGGGTTCATGGACGGCATGATGTGGATGCGCGTGCCCTCCACCAGCCGGACGATGCGCTGGTTCCCGTTCCGGAACTCCTCGCACAGGAACTCGGACAGCTGCAGCAGCAGCTCGCGGCCCAGCACCTCGTTGCCATGCATGTTCCCCACGTACTTGACTTCTGGTTCCACTGCAAGGGGAGAAACACACGCAGGAAGACAAAAAAGATGGGGAAAGCTTGCAAGTGCCATTGATTCCTAACCGTGCATAGGGGCGTTTTCCCTCCTTTTCAGTAATTTATAGAAGAAAACCTCCCGCTTCCATTAGGTCTTTTCCAATAGTCCTTGAGTCCCCTTGGAACAAACTGCAACTATAAATGCAACAAAAATTCATGCCTGAGATAATAATGTCTACTGCTTATTGAACTCCTACTGTGTACTAGGTATTTACATTATTTCTAATCTTCACAGAAAACCTATAAAGTAGGTATTATTAGGCTCAGAATGAGGGTACTGGGTATGGAAGAAGTTAAGTAATTTGTCTGAGGTCACCTGGCTGATTAATAAAGAGGGGCTGGGGGGTGGGGAGGAAGAGCTCAGTGGTAGAGTGCCTGCTTAGCATGCATGAGGTGCTGGGTTCAATCCTCAACACCTCCAACAAAAATAAAATAAAATAAAATAAAAAAACTTAATTACCACCCCACCACACCTAAAAAAGAAAAAGAAATGAAAGGAATTGCTTAAAAAAAA